TTTAAAAAAGTGGGGAGAGGATTTGGATAGGACACTTTCCCAAAGATGACACACCGATGGCCAACAAACACATGAAAAGATGATGCTCAACGTCACTAGTCATCTGGGAAATGCAAATAAAAACCAAAATGATACCACCTCACACCTGTCAGAATGGCTGTCATCACAAGTGGAGAAAAGGGAACCCATGTGCACTGCTCATAGGAATGTAAATTGGTTCCGCCACCATGTAAAACAGTATAGAGCTTCCTCAAAAAATTAAAAATAGAACTATCATACAATTTAGCAATTCTACTCCTGGGTATTTAAGGAAAGAGAACAAAAACACTATTTTAAAAAGATACACACACCCTTATGTTCACTGCAGCATGATGTACAATAGCCAAGATGTGGAAGCAACCTAAGTTCCCATCAATACAGGAATGACTGAAGAAACTGTGGCAGGCACGCACGCACACACACTGCAACACTACTCAGCCATAAAAAAGAATGGAATCTTGCCATGGCAACATGGATGGACCTAGACAGTATTATGCTATGTGAAATAAGCTTCTCCAAGAGAGGCTTCAACAGTATAGTTAGAACCAGGAACAACACACTGGTTCCAAACTGGGAAAGGAGTATGTTAAGGCTGTATGTTGTCACTCTGCTTATTTAACTTAAATGCAGAGTACATAATGTGAAACGCTGAGCAGGATGAAGCACAAGCTGGAATCAAGATTGCCAGGAGAAATATCAATAACCTCAGATATGCAGGTGATACCACCCTTATGGCAGAAAGCGAAGAAGAACTAAAGAATCCCTTGATGAAAGTGAAAGAGGAGAGTGAAAAGTGGCTTAAAATTCAACATTCAGAAAAAGAAGATCATGGCGTCTGGTCCCATCACTTCATGGCAAATAGATGGGGAACTAGTGGAAAACAGTGAGAGACTTTATTTTCTTGGCCTCCAAAATCACTGCAGATGGTGACTGCAGCCATGAAATTAAAAGACACTTGCTTTTTGGAAGAAAAGCTATGACCAGTCTAGACAACATATTAAAAAGCAGAGACATTACTTGGCTGACAAAGGTCTGTCTAGTCAAAGCTATGGCTTTTCCAGTAGTCATGTATGGATGTGAGAGGTAGACTATAAAGAAAGCTGAGCACCAAAGAATTGATTCTTTTGAACTGTGGTGTCGGGGAAAACTCTTCAGAGTCCGTTGGACTGTAAGGAGATCAAACCAGTCAATCCTAAAGGAAATCAGTCCTGAATATTCATTGGAAGGACTGATGCTGAAGCTGAAGCTCCAATCTTTGGTCACCTGATGCAAAGAACTGACTCACTGGAAAAGTCCCTGATGCTGGGAAAGATTGAAGGCATGAGAAGGGGACAACAGAGGATGAAGACAGTTGGATGGCATCAGCGACTGGATGGATATGAGTTTGAGCAAGCTCCAAGAGCTGGTGATGGATAAGGAAGCCTGGTGTGCTGCAGTCCACGGGGTCGCAAAGAGTCAAACATGACTGACCAACTGAACTGACTGAAGTGAAATAAGTCACACAAAAAAAGACAGATGCTGTATGATTCCATTTATATGCAGCAACCAAAAGTTTACAGAATACAATGTGATACAGAAGCAGCATCAAAGAAGCTGAAATCAAGAAACCAGTCTGGAATCAAAACCGAGTTAAATAATCTTGGGAAACTCATTTTATATCTATATATTCACTGCTCATCTATAAAATGAACTTGGCTAGAGCCTAGATGATTCATAATGTACTTTCTATGAGAACTACTATTCCAATATATGTAAGCACCTATACAAAGCCCTAAGAATTTCTCCCCTTCTGTGGTTTGAAATTTTGCTGAGTTACAACTGAAACTGAAAATAACGTCCACTTTAACACAAGTCAGCAGAGACCTTGTAAACAAGAACACACTCCCGAATCCAGTCTTGCAGTGCCATCTTACAGTATCTCAAAGATCTTATAAATATATTGGCTCTTTTCAGTCAACTACTTTTAAAACAAACTTTTAGACGCTGGGTTTCATTCCATTTATTCTATCAATTTTGAAGCTTTGTGTCAAAAAGCTCCCCAAATACTTGCTAAATGGATGTCCCCACATATGGGCAATCTCTGCTTTTCATGGTTTCCATATGTGTGACTTCCATTTACCATGATTTAAACGCCAATCTCCAACAAGAGGGTTCAGACTCCAGCCTCCAGGGCACACACACCATGAGTAAGGCAGAGTACACATGGCTGCCACTCTCCTGTCCACAAGCCACTATGTGAGTAACAGCCGAGCAATCCCGACCAGCAGCCACACGTCACCTCTCTCAGTCTGCAGGTGATGGTGCACCACACAGCTTACTCAATTCACAAACAAAGCAGGTAGTAGAGCTGCCTCCTTGTGATTAAATTTTTGAATCACACATACTAAATATACTGACAAATTTCCAGTCTATAGAGTCATGTTTCTTAAGTTGTGCCCTATGAAAGTATCTTGATTCCCAGAGGTGACTGTCTCTTGGGAAAGGGAAACCTAGCCAGTGAAGTCTCCACCACAGTCCTACTTCCATCCATGAGAAGCACCTGACAGTCTGAGACAAGGAACCTGCAGAGAGAAGAGAAGTATGAAAGCCACTCTCAAGTCTCAAAGGAAGTAAGATTCCTCATTTCACGATTATTCCAAATTCACAATTCCAGACTGAGTAAGACACCTGAATTCTGATTTGGACTCTACTGCTAACCAATTATGTAAAAGCTTATACCTCCTTAGGCCTCAGTCTTCTCAACTGCAAAACAAGAGAACCAAGTGGTATAGCAAAGTATTTTACAGCTTAGAGGTCTCAGCCTAATTAGTGCTAAGTCACTTCAGTCATGTCTGACTCTGTGTGATCCTATGAACTGTAGCCTGTCAGGCTCCTCCGTCCATGGAATTCTCCAGGCAAGAATACTAGAGTGGGTTGCCATGCCTTCCTCCAGGGATTCTTCCAGACCCAGGGATCAAACCTGAGTCTCTTATGTCTCCTGCATTGGCAGGCAAACTCTCTACCACTAGCGCCCCCTGGGAAGCCCCAAGTCTAATTAAAATTCTTCCCAATTTTTCTTTAGCTACAGCAAATGTAAAAGCTATGACTTAAATAATGCATGTTAAAATAAAATGCTTTAAATAAGATTTTTTTAAAAATCCGTTGGGTGTTTTCTTTTTGGCCTGTCAAACAGTTATTTTTACATTAATTTGGCTTAAAAAACACATACAGCACATCCATCTAGCTCATCTATTTTAAATTTCAAGCTTTATCATATTTACTTCACAAACAGGTACTGTTCCCCTCCCTTGCTACCAAGAAGCAAGCAATACAAAAGTATAACTAAGCGGAAATGTAATTTAAAAATAGTTATTTACAAAACATAGTCTAAAACTGCTTCTGCACTCCTCTCTCCCCATGCTGGATGATACTGTCAATGTTACAAAACACAGAAGAGAAATAAATCTGATATTGGCCAAGGCAATTTTCAGCAACAGTGTCAAAACAAGTTTCAGGGGTTTAAGAAAAAAAATCAATTAACTGTCTAAACGTTATTCTTCCTAGTCATGCTAAGATTTCAAAACTCATAAACATAAAATCAGTTTAAATGTAACAACTGAAATGCTGAAATATAAACTAGAAAGCTCAAGCTTCAGATGTACAACAAAATATGCTAATAATCTCTCAGCAACTTCTTTATAATTCATATTCAACTTCCAAAAATGACTTAAATGTTGTTACCAAGAAGTATCTGCCATTAATATAACCTAACCACTGTTTTTTAAAAATATTTCCACACTCTTTCATATGTACAATGGTAGAGGGGAGAAAAACTGTTTAAAAAATGAAATCTACAAAATGAAAACTATCAAGTTAAAATACACCATTTTATTACTAATTTTTCAAGAACATAAAGACAGGATGCACCAGTCTTAAAAAAGACATGGCCCCATTCATGAGCACACTCAATTTCAAACAGCAAGGACAACAGCAGAGTCTCAACACTAAAACGTCACTTTTTAATCACCTATGCTTTACCTCTAAGCTCTGACCCTAAGCGTGAAATCGTTCCGCAATGCTAAAATCGTTAAACAGCTTATCCTGACACCTACACGGAACAGAGACACAAAAGACGCAATTTTCCATTAAAAGGTAGCTAGAAAGGTACTACCTTGAAAGTACCAATCGCAACATACAATAAAATATTCCACTTAACGAAAATTCATGCAATGATGGCAAGAAATACAAAACTACACTGTTCTCTAGTCTGGTTTCAATAACGATCAGAAGAACGAAAGACCACACGTACTAACGTTTTAGGTGATACAGTTTTCAATGTTTTTAACATTTCTAAATAGTCAAATTTCTAAAACCTCAGTGCTAACATCTAATTTCAAAATCTGTGCTTACAGGAAACCAAAATTGTATTCAATAGGAGAGAGGAGTTGAAAAGCTAATCTAAGAAGTCGCCTTTTCTTCAATGAGCGTTCACCTTGCTCGTTGCTTTTACTCAGTCGGCACCGCAGTTTTCCACTCCCAGGAAAGACAGACAACACGCATTCAGTCAGGTAAGAATGGGCCCTCCGCCCACGTCAGGACGAGCCGTAGGATCCGACTGGCTCCATCCACGACCCCCACACGGGCCATCGCGCGCGGAGGTGGACAGCGGGCCGACCCAGACTCCTCTCCTCGCTCCCGCATCACCCGCGGAACCCCGCCAGTCGGACCCTGCACCGCCTGCCGGACCCCCGGCGAGCCCGGCCCGGCCCAGCCCAGCCCCCCGGCGCGCAGCCGACGCGGGGCACGACCGCCGCCCCGACGGTCGCCAGGACCCTCCCTGCTCCGCCTGCGCTCCGCAGGAAGTCTGGCGGTCGAGGGGCCGTACTGTGGCTTCCCTCACACCGCCAGGCTGGCCGCCAGCTGCAAGATGAGGCGCCGCGCGGGTCGCGGTGAAAAAGCAAGTAGCCCGGCAAGGAACCGACCTGTGGAGACCGCCATCTTCTCCTGCAGCCCGACGCACCGCTCAGACGCACGCGACGTCCGCGCCACTTCCGGGAGCGCCACCGCCCGCCCCGCGGCTTCCGGCCCCAGGCTCCCTCTCCGCGGCTTCCGCTGCGTCACCGCGGACCCGTCCCGGGGCTTCCGGCTTCCTGAGACGCAGCCGCTAACTCTGACGGAAAGGTTGAAGGCTATGATCATGGAACAGACTTGAGTCAGTCACCGTGAAAGAGCAAGAGCGTGAGGCGAAAATGCTCTGTGAGGGAGCTCGTCCTCCTGGAGCTGCCGCCGGCGCTAACGTCACAGGCGTGTGTTGGAGCAGGTGCGCGAGCGCCGTGCGCTAGCGCCGCCCAGAGGGCTGTCCTCTGTCGGGGAGAGGGTGGCATCTGTGTTGAGGTACACGAAGTGCTTGTGGAAATGAAGCCCTGACAGGGGCGTTGACGGTTCTGCCGAAAATGATTCAAGGAGTGACAGAATGTTTAAAGAGACCTTAGAATTAAACCGCCGTATTCATATTTTCTTTTTAGATCGGAATGGTGGCGAAACATGATTAAAGTTTCTCTGTGGCTCTAGAAAGTTCTTTCCGTTTCTGAGTGATTAGGGAGCATGACTGCGTCTGGAGGGCCGAGGTGCTCACGGGGCTTGGGCGGCCGCCGGCACGGGGCGGTTCCCGGCGGTGACAGCCAGGACGACCCCCGAGGATACGACTTCCCCGGGGCGCGGCGACCTCTCCCCGCCCCGCGCGTACCCGCGGGCCGAGCTCCCGCCGGAGTGGGACTCGTTCTGCGCAGGGCGGTGGTCCCTGCTGGGTGGACCTCTTCTTTCCATCCTGCGTACTCATTTACCCATGCCTTAGCACGTCCGAGGCTTGGGGAGAAGACAGGCCCTAGTGGTAGTTCTGAACGTGAAGTGTCAGCTGCTGCTTCTTCCGAGTTGGTCCCAGCTACCTCCCTAATGTGAAGTGACACTGCTGGGCGCTCTGTTACTATTCTTTTCACTCTGGTAGAAAACTCTACCGTGTCTCTCCGCTTGGCTTTCCTGTCTTGTTCTTTATAATCCTCTCACCTTGTGTGTGGGCTGGGTTTACTGACCAGCTTCCTTGAATAAAATAACAGAAGGTGGGGAGGTGGGGTGACGTAGGTAATCACTTCTGAGATTTTGTTTTAGAAGACTAGATCGCCGGGAATTCCCCGCAATCCAGTGGTTAGTACTCAGCTCTTTAACTGTCAGGGGCCCTGGGTTGGAACCTTGGTTGGGGAACTGAGAGAATTAAGATCCCACAGCCCTGGTCCGGGCCAAAAAAAAAATAGATTGCATGCGTTGCTGTCCCTTGCTCCAGTCCTCCCTTTGAGGGAGGCCAGCTTTCAGTTATGGCAGCTGCCTTATAGAGAAGCCCGCATGGCAAGGAATTGAGATCCATCTCTAGTCTATAAACTTGAGGATGTGAGGTGCTCAGTTCAACAGCTGGAGAAGCTGAATCTTGTCAACAAACATGGCAGTGAGCTTTAAAGTAGATCCTCCCCAGTCAGGTCTTAGATGACTCTTTAGCCTGCCCCAACATCTTAATGGCAACTCTGCTAGAGACCTTGAGGCAGAGGAACCCAGCTGCTCACCCCATTCCTGACCCTTAAAAATTGAGATAACAAATGTTTGGTGTTTTGAGCCAGGACATTTTGGGATAATATGTTATGCAGCAATAGGAAACTGCTGCTGCAGCTAAGTCGCTTCAGTCGTGTCCAACTCTGTGCAACCCCATAGACAGCAGCCCACCAGTCTCCCCTGTCCCTGGGATTCTCCAGGCAAGAACACTGAAGTGGGTTGCCATTTCCTTCTCCAATGCACGAAAGTGAAAAGTGAAAGGGAAGTCGCTTAGTCATGTCCGACCCTTAAGGATCCCATGGACTGCAGCCCACCAGGCTCCTCCCTCCATGGGATTATCCAGGCAAGAGTACTGGAGTGGGTTGCCATTGCCTTCTCCAATAGGAAACTAATACACTCTTAATAGTAGCCAAGATATGGAAGCAACCTAAGTGTCCACCAACTGATGAATGGATAAAAATGCAGAATGTGTGCGCAATGCAGTATTACTCACCCTTTAAAAAGAAAGATTACAGGACTTTCTTGGTGGTCCAGTGGTTAAGAATCCACCTTCTAATTCAGGAGATGCAGTTCGATCTCTGATCAGGGAACTAAGATCTTACATGTCGAGGGGCAACTAAGCCTGGGTGCTGCAAGAACTGAACCCCTGCGCTCTAGAGCCCCTGTGCCACAACTAAGACCTGACACAGCCAAATAATTTTTTTAATGAAATTTTATCACTGTCAAGAACGTGGATGAACCTGGAAGGTATTACACTAAGTGAAGTGAGACAAAAACAAATACTCAAATGTTTTCACTTCTATGTGGAATCTAAAAAAATGAAACAAAGAAATAGATATAACAAAACAGAAACAGACTCTCAGATGTGGAGAATAAACTAGTAGTTACCAGTGGTGAGAAGAAAGGAGGGGCAAGATAGGGGGAATGGATTAAGAGGTACAAACTACTATATATAAAATAACCTACAAGGACAGGACAGGAAATATAGCCAATGTTTTATAATAACCTTAAATGGAATATAACAAAAAAATTTAGAATCACTATGTTGTACACCTGAAACTAGTAAATCAACTATACCTGAATTTAAAATAAACTGTAAATTTCTCTTGAGATTTTTTTTATCTTTGCCTCTGCTGTTAGAGAAGTGTGCTATTCAGTCTCCATATATTTTGGGAGTCAGTGAACTTTTTTGACATATGGTAATGGTTACTCAGTATTATAAGATGAGCTAATGTACAATAACAATAAGCAGTTATATTCTTGCCTTCTTTGTTGTAGATTAATTGACCCTAAAGAGCATGGGTTTATTACTGGGGTCTCCATTCTGTCCCATTGATCTATGTACCTGTGTTTGTGCCCATTTCATACTGTTTATGGGTTTTTTTTTTGTGGGGGGATGCTTGTCAAAAAGTTTATTTGGACTGTTTTGACAGAAACATCTGTACATCAGCCTCCTGGTAATCCAGTGATGTTTGTTAGTGCTTTTACCTTGTGCACCGTGGGTTAGGGGCAGAGGAGGAAGCAGACGGTCCAGGAGAAAGGGAACCTTCACTTGCATGTATTGGTGTTTTCCACATAGCTCATCTAATGGGAGTTGTTAGACCTGGACTAGCTCTGTCTTCAGCATTATCTAACTGTGCAGGCCTCTGTAGATCTCAGATGCCTCTTCAGCAGCTGAGAGGTGAGGAGTGAATGATGCTGTGTCATACTGTTTTGATTAATGTAGTCCTATAGTGTAGTCTGAAGGCTGAAAGCATGCTGCCTCCAGCTCTGTTCTTCTTGCTCAAGATGGCTTTAGCTATTCAGGGTCTTTTATTGTTTCTATACAAATTTTAGAATTATTTGTTCTAGTTATGTGAAAAACACCATTGGTGTTTTGATAGGGATTGCGAGAAAGCTTTTTTTTTTTTCCTGTGCCACACTGTAAGGCTTGTGGGATCATAGTTCCCCAACCAGGAATTGAACCCAGACCCTGGCAATGAAAGCGCTGAATCCTAAACACTGGACTGCCAGGGAATTCCTGGGATTACTGTAAAGCATTTTAAATAAGTGAAAACACAACTTATCAAAATTTGTGAGATACAGTGAAAGCATTCCTTAAAGGGAAATTTAGAGCATTGTATGCAATATTAGAAAAGAAGAGAGAACTTAAATCAATCATGGAATCTTTCACCTTAGGAAACCAGAAAAAGAGCCAGTTAAATCCAAAGTAAGTGGAAGAAAGATAAAAAAGAAAAAATTACAGTAGAGAGCAATGAAGTTGAAAACAAGAAATCAATAGAGAAAATCAGTAAAACCAAAAGTTGGTTCTTTGAAAAGATCAATAAGCTTCTAGCCAGACAAACAAGAAAAAAGAGAGAAGACACAAATTACTAATGTCAGAAATGAAAGCACTTCCCCACAGATTCTATGGATATTAAAAGGATAATAAAGGAATGAAGTGAAAGTGTTAGGCACACAGTTGTGTCTGACTCTTGCGACCTCATGGACTGTGGCCTGTCAGGCTCCTCTGTCCATGGAATTCTCCAGGCAAGAATACTGGAGTGGGGAGCCATTCCCTTCTCCAGGGGATCTTTCCAACCCAGGGATTGAACCTGGATCTCCTGTATTGCAGGCAGATTCTTTACTGTCTCAGCCACCAGGGAAGCTCTAATAAAAGAATAGTATGAACAAATCTGTGCCCCACATTTGACAACCCAGATGAAATGGATCAATTCCTTGAAAGGTATAGTCTGCCAAAGCTTACAGACCAAACAGACTATATGAATAAGTCTATGTGTATTGAAGAAGATAATAATCACCTTTCAAGACAAAGCACCAGCTGCAGATGTGTTCACTGGTAAATTATATCAAACATTTAAGGGAAAAATTACATCAATCCTCTATAGTCTGTTTCAGAGAAAAACAAACTGAATATGTTCTACCTCATTGTATGAGGTAGGTCAACATTACCCTACCAGCAAAACCAAAGACATAAGAAAAGAAAACTGTGATCTGTCTCTTCAACATAGGTACAAAATCTTCAACAAAATATTTGCAAATAGAATTCAGTAATATATAAAAAGAATTACACATTGCAACCAAGTAGGATTTATCTCACGAATATAAAGCTATTTCACCATTCAAAAATCAATTAATATAGTTCATGATATCAACAGGTTAAAAACAAAAACCATATGATCATATCAATAGATACAGAAAAGCATACGATAAAATTTAAGATTCATTCATGACAAAAACTGTCAGTAAAATAGGAATAGAGGCAGGGATTCCCTGGTGGTCCAGTGGTTAAGAATCTGCCTTGCAGTGCAAGGGACACCAGTTCAGTCCCTGGTCCTTTTTAACATTGTACTGGAAACCAAAGAAATAAACTATTTGTTTGCCAATTACATGATTTTCTGTGTAAAAAATCTGAAAAAAAATCAAAAAATCTTCTGGAACTAATAATCGATTATAGCCAGGTTGCAGGATACAAAGTTATCATACAAAAGTCTGTCAGTTTCTCATGTATCAGCAATGATCAACTCAACTTGAAGTGAAAAAAACACAATACTAACATAAGTACCCCCCCAAATTAAACATTTAGATACAAACCTAACAAA